CTGAGCTCCAGTTGGGGATGCACAGGCACAACAAGGTTTTTGATGGCAATGAGGAGAGGACGTGCCCGTGACGGATGCCTTGTTTGAGGGATGGGCCAGAACAAGGCCCTGCTCTTGTTGCCTGTGTAAATCACACTACACCTCCTCTAAGATCGCATGATTTCTCCTTGGGCTGTAGGAAACTAGTGCAGAGCTGAAAAATTACTCCACTGCCCCTAAGGCTTGATCAAGGCTGTAACCACAAGGTTGTCTTTCTTTTAGTGACAGCAAGAGACCTCCCAGGCAGGATCTCCACTACCTGGGTCACCTCCCAGCTAGCTGGACTGGTTTCTAAAAGTCCAGCCAGCATTTCCCCTCTTTTGGGGACTGGGCAGCAGACCTGCCCTCCCAGATGCATCTGCAGTGGGCCAGCTCTCCACCCGCAGCACCAGCTCACAGTCTGCGATGGCACCTTGAATTCAGTCCATGACAAGCCCTCCTTGCTGTCCCGCAGCCGCCCTGCCCTGCCTGCCCCCCTGCCCACACCTCCCTGGAAGGTCCAAAATCTTCGCAGGCCTGCTCAAGGAGCCACGTACACTGACACGAGGCGCACTGTCCCCAGCGGTCACATGGTCCTTTGCCTCAGCCAGGAGAGGAAAGATGTTTACCTTCACATTTCCAGTATTCCCCAGGGGAACTTCAGAGAAGCAAGATGCTGCCAACAACAAAAACATGGCCAGGATATGCTGGCATACCGAGAAAGCTATCGCAGGGCAGGATTCACCTCACCTGGCACTGGATGGTACCAAATAGACGTCTAAGCCATCTCAAATCCTGTTTTATCAACGGAGAGACTGGCACTACTGGAGCATGAACCATCTCACTAATCACACCCCAGAAGTGTCCGTGTCCTACCACAGGTGCAGACACTGCCCATGGCAATGAGCCCAAGCACATCAGGCTCTGAACACAGTGGCAAGCCAAGAAACCATGTAGGAAATGATCCTGAGCTGACCTGTTGTTTCTATGTATTTGAAGAGCAGGTGTGTGTGAGACTTTCCCTCCTGAATGCCTCCTGGACTTTGTCCTCCTTGGCAGCCAAAGAAAGTATCTCCTTTTCATCTAGCAATGAAGATGAATTTGTTCTAAGTGCAAAGCAACCCCAAGCCTTCAACATGAGTAAGTAACGGCCTCGGTAACAAGCACGACAGCCATGAGCTCTGTGCAGGAGGTGGGCTGCGCAGGCAGCTGCGATGGGCCTGTCCCCAAATGGGATGCTAAGGTCCCTGCAACACGCCGGGCTCTGCAGAGCTGGGAGGTGCAGAACGCAATCCAAGTCTGAGCAGGAGCCGCCTTCACTTATCAGGGCCCATTTGTTTGGGTGGGATGCTGTCCTGGACATGCTCCCTTCAGGAGGAAGGGAGCATGAAATACACTGAAATAACTGGCTGGCAGGCACGGAGCTCCCCACTTCTTTCTCTGATTATTTTTTAAAGCTCTGGCTGAGCAGAGCCTTTCAGTATGCAGGGCAGCACCAGCCACTCCAGCAGAGCTGCTTGCAGGACACCAGCTGAGAGGCCTCCTGGATGGACTGTGCTTCTGCTAATGCTGAGGGCCAGATCCCTTTGCTCCAAGCCCTACTCCCTGCAGGGCAGCTGCCCCCAGCTAACCACTCCCTCCCTTAGCAGCATGCACTGATAAGACTTAGCTCCTGGCAGAAAACTCTTCCCCGCGGCGCTGATTTATTAATAGGTGAGGGGGGAGCAGTTCTCACCCCTCTCTCCTGCTTACATGCTAGAAATCAATTTGGCAGCTGGCAGCAAATCCCGTTAGGGCAGCGAGATACCTGAAGGCATCGGCAGCTCCTGGCCCATTACAAGAACAAGGGGATGGACCCTGGTAATGTACATCCAAAACCAGTTGCATCCAACTGGAAGCAAGGATCCTACTGAGATAAATATTAATAGAGCCTGCAAAGGCAGGGATGGGAATAAGCTCATTCATTAAATGACTTTGTCCATACTCAAGGGACCAATGCAGGATTTTAACAGAGGAAACAGTGACAAGAAAGCCCACAGTGAAACTCCCCATATATTTCCCTTTTGGGCCAAGAGAATCGAATTCATGGGTAGCCCATCATGTCTGACATTTCCTAATTAGCCTATTAAAGCCCTGGCTGGCTTTTACATTTTCTAGATGAAAAACCTGGAACGTGGATGAGCAGAGGCTAAAACCAGAGCAATAATTTCCTCTATGGATCTGTTAGAGCTGTGCAGATCTGATCTGCAACAGCCCTGTTTATTTTGCTTGTTCTGGAAACCGTGACAGAGAATGGTGTGGCAGCTCTGGGAAACCTTGCGGTGCACCCGCTACCGGCAGAGAGGAGCCCTTCTTCCCCGTTTGGTTGGGCTGTGATCACAAGCCTTCTCTCTTAACAAGCCTCCCTGCTGCTCCATGCATGACAGCCTATCCCTGGGTCTCATTACTCATTTAGCTTCAGAGCTAAACTCTTGCACATACCACTCAGCAGGTCAGATTGCCCAGAAAGGACGCAACGAAGGTGGCATGCAGAAGACTCATGCCTCTGACAGACCTGTCCACCAATGCTTAGCTCTGCTACCTGCTAAGTTTTCATGTGTTGAGAACTAATTAGCCTTCCTCCACCCCCTCTGCCAAAACCATATTAACAAGATGCGTGCATGATGGAGGGAAGTCAGATTCCTACTGGTGCCACTCCTCTGCTGCCAAGTAGCTTCACCTTCTTCTCTGTGTGCCTGAAACCAGTCTCTGACCTGCTGGGTGACACAGCTGGAGATCCACCTTGGGAAAGCAATGGCCAAGAGCTGTCTCTGCACACACATGCCACGCCACTACACGGCATGCGACTGCCTTGGTTAGGCCATCAGGGGGGCAGAGTTGGTTAGTACGGGGTGGGGTGGCTGTTCTGAAGGTCACACACTGCCTGCACCCCTAAGAGTTATCACTGGGATACCTGAAGGGAAGTTAAAAGAGGAGACCCTGAGTTAAATGGTTTTGATTAAGCCCTCAGTGACTCTTACTTTTCACACATGAGGGCAGAGCTTTTTTTCATTTCTCCAAGCCCCCTCCACCACCGCAGAGAAGCTCCTGGCCCCATCCAAGTTGTGCTTGCCACGAGATGAGCTCACAGGTACTTTTGAGAGTACTTTCCAGATCCATACCCAGAGTTTTGCATCTGCAGATACACACATGCAGACCCAGCTAGCTGCCCCAGTTTCCACACACAAAAGCTCACTTATGCTTTTTTTTACCCTTTGCCCCTTTGAAATCAAAGATGCAAATTGAGAAGGAGGCTCTGAATATTTGGAGAAGACAGTCCTACCCATCACCCACTGATATGACCCTGGCTATAGAGAAGGGCCTGATGATTGTCAACAGTGCTGACTGTCAGCAAGGGCTGCAGACTTCGAGCACGCAGGGAGGGTGCAGAGCATTTCTGAAAACTATGCTGCCACTTTCTTCTTTCTATTACAAGGTAGGATTTTTTTTTGGTGATGGTCATGGTCAGCGACACTGGCAAAAAGTCAATTTTAGGAGTCTGTTTAAGGACACAGGCACTGTTGTTGGGCGACTTCTGACGGGAAATCCTGCCTGCATCCGTAGTATTGCACAGAATCACAGGCCACATAGTTTTTAATGATTTTTGATGGATGATTTCCTCTAGGACTCACCAAAACTGGACAACTAGCTTCAACTCCAGACTATTTTGTAGGAGAAAGTGTAAGCATCACCATGATGAGTCGAAGTTTTGGGGCTTTCTCTGTTACTCTGCTCCTCTACATTATGCTGACCCAGTAGAAAGAAGACATAAACCAATTCATTAACTCATAATGTAATTACTGCTTTATCAACTGATTTAAAAATATCCATCTAACGTAGTAACTTAAACTGGAAAACAATGTCATGATGCTTGGTTTCAGACTGCAACATCAATAAAGTTGTAAGGCACAGTCATTTGGATCAGCATCTCAGAGTCTGCAGTCACTAAAAGAGATGTTTTGAATCTCACCTGAATATAAAGCAAATGCCCTGTTGAAAAAACAAGAGATTGCTCCCTTACTTCCCTGCCTTGTCTTTGCTGCAGCATTACTTAAAATTATTCAGTCATATGAAATTGGAAAGTCTATTTGATCTAAAAAAACTAGAGGTGGGATGCCTGACCCTAAAGGGGTCACACAGGGGATGCTCTGACACCTGCTTACAGAGGTCAGCTCTGCTAATAAAATTCCAGTATGCAATGTCTATCCATAGGAAGCGAGAGAAATCCTTCCAGGTAGGTATGGAGCAAACAAACGTGTTAATGTTGGGATGAGCTACTTGGTCAGTATTCACTCCCATAGTGATGCAGGCAACAAGAACCTCAGATGCCTGTGAATGGGGTGAACTCCTGTGGGGCCATCAGCTCTGAAACCACCCAGCCTTCCTGGGCTCTTCCTTGGGCAACACACACCTCCCTTACAACTCACTCCGGTCAACACTTTTTCTCAAGGCCTTGGCTTTGTCTCTTGCATGTTAAAGATCCAGGATTGCAACAGATACACTGTGGGGCTGCTGCTAGGTCAGGTGGCTGAGCATGAGAAGGAATGCCCTGTGTCCCTCACCTCCTCCAGCCCGCTCTGCACACTGCAGGCTCCATGCTCTGCTTGGTTCAGTGTCCCTGCCTGACTCACAGAGTAGGGCATGGTGCGGATGAGAGGAAATATGTTAGGACTTGTTCTGTTTTAGTGCATGAAGGCTGCAAAAATAACCACACTTTTCTGTAATAAGAGGTTGATTAGCTCTTCTGTTGATCAGCAGGTGCTCTTTAAAGAAAGCATTTCTGGACCAGCTGTAGCCTTAATTGAGGCAAATCGTCGTTTGTTTGAACTGCTCTACTTGCACAGTTCTGTGTTTAGCTTGCAGAAGAAGCTGAAAGACAGCATCAATCCTTCAAGACTGTGCCGTGTACATGGCTCCAACATACGCTGCCACCTGGGTGTCTTCTAGGACTGGGGACTTTTGTTCTGAGATGTTGTTGAGGCAGTGGGTCTGTCTGGCAATGACTGCAGCATGGCCCTGGCAGTCAGGGGCCAAGCGGCGCTCATCAGCCCAAACCTCTCTGAGGCCTTTGTGGATGAACAGACAGCTGGATGGTGGTGGTTGATCTCTCCAGGAGGGCTCTCATCCATGATGGGCCTGAGGAAAAGAGAGAAACACTGGTGAAACTGCACTCTGGATCTGAATATCTGCATTCTCCCCACCAGCTCTGCCATTTCCTGCTCTGAAAACTGAACCAAAAGCTGCCAGGCCTGGAGCAGCACAAGGCACACCAGCTTCCCACACAAAGCATGTGCTCTCTGCCTATACTGCTCTATAATGACCACATTAACTTCAAAATCAAGGTGTTATGTCACAGCTCCTCAGTTTTATTTCTTCAAAGAAGCAACACGATGCTAATCTTACAGTAAGCAGGTTCAGAAATAACCATGTTTTGGTGCATGTGACACTTATCTAATGCCTACTTTATTTTCCAAAGCTCTTTCTAAAATGAATTAATGTAAGTTTCAAGGGAAAAAAAATGAAGTGGGATGTCAGGAACTTGTCCAGGGGTTTACCCAAGGAGAGTCTTGAACAAGCACCACTACAAGAGCTCTGCAACAGACATGTGCATTGGCCCTGCATGGGGAACATGGGAATGGAGCAGTAAGAACACAGGAAAATTCTGGGCTATTATTCAAGAAAATACAAAATTTCCAACGCTCACGCTATAAGGAACGTGAGAAAATGTTTCATTTAGTGTTAGACGTCAAAAGTAAATGTCAGCACAAATAAAAGGAGTTCTTTTTACTCCTTTTAGGAGTAAAAGGCAGGAGACTCCAGAGACAACAGTTTGCTTTTTCCTGCTGTGAAGTCCCTCCTGTTTTCCCCAGACACGCTGCAGGCAGTGCTGCTGGCAGCACACATACCTGATGCTTGTTGATCCAACAGCTGCTGGTCCTGAAATAGGCCTTTGCTGGCCGGTGGTCCCAGCAGGCTGGCGCTGCCCTCGGGATCCGGAGGCAGCCGGCACACTGTGCTGGCTCAGGAGAGCAAGTTCCTTGCCTAGAGGCTGGGCTGAAGTTTCTTGATGAGCCCTTGACTGGCATTGCTGTGTCCACTGCCTGTCTTCCTCTTGGCTGGGTATTTTTAGGCGTCTTACCCTATGGTTGCTTGTTTTCCAGGGTCTTGCTGCAACACCCGTTACAGATGCAGGTGAAGGGCTTTTTGGAGGGGATGGAATTAGACAACGGTTCTGGTTGGAGAACACTGCACCTTCCTGAGCCTGTGACGAACCTGAAACAGGGGGGGAAGTGCAGTGATTTATCAGTTCATCTTACTCCTAAATGCCCGACCCAGTGAGCGAACGGTTTTGGAGAATGCTGTGTGATGGAGCTGGGTGGGTAGATGTGTCCCAGGGCACACAGTGATGCTGGCCTTGTTGAAATGCTTCCTCTGATAGTCGGGGGTTTGGGTTGCTCAGCAGCCTCCCTGCCAGTACTGCTGGTGATGTGCCAAGCACTGGAAATGCTCATGAGCCGTGCACAGCTCAAGAGGGACAGACCAGCTCACCCATCCTCCTGTTCTCAGGCAGGATCACACCTGCATCATTCCTGACCAGTGTTTGCACTGACTTGTTTTAAATACCTGAGGACCCCATCCAGCAACCTGAAATTCAAGGCACAGGAATAATCACAGATGAGTGGATCCCCTTTTTTTTAATCAGAGGCAGTGGTGTAAGAATAAGATCTTGAGATTAGCCTTCAAATTACGGAAAGTGCCTGACTGCTAGGGAAAATATTGCACTACATGCAGGACTACTGTCTGGCTGTTCATATTTTAGCCCATGTAATCCTCAGGTACAACATACAGAGAAGAAGAATCTTGTTGCTGACTTATGGATATAATGTGGATGCATATATGCTTAAAACCATTCCATATATAGCAGGGATCCAATTGCACTTGTCTATTAAAAGAACCAACTGTATCTAAGCACCTGATGTGCAAGGTCCAGGGCAGGAACACAATCTAAAGAATGTGCTACCAAAACCCAGGCCCAGAAAGTTCAGCTTTATAGCTCCTAATTGATGGGGATGTATTTTACTGTTGAAGTAACCACATAAAGCTGATATAAAATTGTCCCTGAACAGTTTCCATCATACTGTATGTTTAAAAAATGTCTAAATTTCATAGGGTTTTTATATGTTTTTAAGTAAAGACACTCTGAAAGACTGGTATGCCTGACTCAAGAGCCCGAAATAACACTCAACAACTTCCAAAGAGTGCAGATTATATGGATCTGATGCTGCAAACACTTTTACATAAGAGTGGTTTTGCTCAGATGACTTGTCCTTTCCTGGTCAGAAAGATTGCTTCCACCAACAAGTTCTTCTGTGAGAAAATCACATTGGGTAGGACACACTTCTGAAGTTACGTGTTGAGGCATTTAAATACCTCTCCAATCTTGACACAGTCTCAAGTCACAGAGGTCAAGTGTATTTTTAACTGCCTTGCTGAATAAAGTCTATCAGTTGCTAAAGTTTTATCAGGTATTTGCTCTGCGAAACACATATGTCTATTAGTGACAGTGGGCAAAGGCAAAGTGTTTGTGATTATTTGAATCTTGGCTATTATGGACAGCTGCTTGTGAATTGGGATCTGGGTCATCTGCCCCCCACCTTAGGTAACACTAGATTTCAAACCACTCCATCGATCTTGTAACCAAATCCTAGCAGATTTCATTACAAGATGGGCAGATCAGTGCCCAGCCACTCACTTTTATAGTCCTATAGGGCATGACACTGGTACACCATGAGATGTTTGGGGCACTGTCTACTCAATCTAAAAAGATGATGAGATCATAATAAATCATACTCAGTATAAAGAAACCATATTAAATCTAAAGAAGATCAGATTAAATCTAAAGAGACCATGAGATCATAATCTAAGACTTCTGTGGTCACTGGACAATAGGCCATTCCTTTAGATTTTTCCAAAGATCTTCTGTTCCTGTTAAGGAGATATTGTTTATATTACTGTTAATACACGGAGGCTTTGAACAGTTTAATGATACTTCTGGTTTTTCCAAAATATATTGTATTTTTCCAAATTTTAATAGATCCATTTTTGCCCTTGAAAGAAATGTAAAATGAAAACTCACATGCTAATATTGATTGAGGCAAAAAAAGTGATTATTAACAATAGAAATAGGTTAAAGTTGTACTTTTGTAAGCTCCTCTACTTGATATCTATTTGGAATAACAATTATTAATATTTCTAATATTCTCAAATACGGTATTCAACAAGTAGTGAAGAGTGGGAATTCTGCTTTCATTCATGTAAATGCAATCCCAGAGAGGTCTTTGGCTTTGTTCCTGAGTAGAAGAGCATGTTTCATTTTTAAACTCTTTACTGAATGCATCCCTTTGATTGCATATCTTTCCAGAATTCTCAGTTGCCCAGTTAAACCTTCATCATTAGCTCAGCCATTATTTCCATCAGTGCCAACTGGGGTAAAACATAGCTCAGTTGGAACAACAGTATTTTAGACTCACCTGGCACTGCTATAAATTAATGACACAAGGTAAGAGACAAGAGGCACACCCTTCTTCTAGACTTGATGCTATGTTGGTGTAAGATCAGCTTTGTTCCTCTTAATTCTACAGATCCATGCTGAAATATATCAACTGATGGTCAACACAGCTGGCCACCATGTCCTGCTTTTTTTCCAAATTGCTGCTCTAGAGCACAGAAGCCAGATCTCATAAAACACTGCAGTTACTAATACACCTATCTACAAACTGTTAGTAACACGTGTCACTACCCGATGCTAACCCTTCCCCAGAGGTTTAGGTCCAGTACCTGAGGAAGACTGGGAGAGACAGGAGTGGCAAGAAGAGCCAAGAGAAATCCTTTCAATGAGGTCCTTATCACAGGTCTCCCTCAACTCATCTTCACAGCTGTCAGCCAGGCTGCAGTCTTCACCCTCTTCCCCATCGCTAAGAGTTACCTTCAGTGCTTGGGCGGCTTTTTCTTGCTGATCTGTTTGCAGGCACCTGGACAACATAAAGTATCACATTTTCAGTTGGCCTTTGAGCTGTGAATATGCAGCCAGGCAAGTGCAGCTTGCCTTGGCCACACAGGGAAACACCGAGACAGTGGATTTAGTCACCCACTGTGATTTCCTACTTTCCTGGAGATAAGGAAAATAATTATAAATGGATCAGCCATCTAAGCTGCCTGTGTCTGATTATCTGAAAGTGTCCTAAAGTTGATCAAGTGAAATGGGGCAGATTTAAAATACTACACAGTGAAGTAAGGTTGGAGAAATAAAGCCAGTTTTACTTCCAAAACAAACATTATCTGTCTATGAGACGGGGGAATCTCAGCATGGCGTTATGTTCCTTTCAGCCTTTCATATGTTTAGGCCAATGTGATGCTTGCAGAAAACCTCATCCACTTTCACTTCTTTCACTGTCTGAAGGTAGACACTGTCAGGGCCAAGAATGTCTTACCAGTTATGAAAAGTCATTTCCTTGCTCTCGCTAAGCAAGCAAGCCCACCCTGCCCACGCTGGTCTTCAGCCTGCTCTAGAGAGAGGTCAGAGCTTCCCCCAGATTTCTTCTCCCTTGCCCACCACACAGATGCTCCAGCAGCGAGGACTGATAGAAGGATTGCCACCGCAGGGACAGGAAGGCAGGAGGCCAAGATTATGCCCTGAAACCACCACCAGGTGGCCAAAGAGTTTATTTTATTACTACAACAGAAAACGAATGCCTGTTTTACTGCACGACAAGATTTCTCCTGCGGTCTCACCGCTTGTGCTGCTCTCTCCATACTCTCAGTTCAGAGGACACATCTCCCTGGTGCAGATCTCCTCCTATTCCAGAGCCATAAGGGTTTTCCGTCCTCATACCGCAGAGTTTCAAAGGGCTCACTGCAGGTGGCTGCAAAAATGACAGAAGTTATCTCGATAACCTCAGGAGCTCTCCCCAGCTCCGTTTCTAGATTGAGGATTTTAGAAGGCATCAAAGTCCTCTGTTACTCCTGAGTTTTCAGATCACCCCTCACCATTTTCTTGCTCTTCAGTTTTAAGAAGCCCCACGCCCCAGTCACATGCACTGTTACAGCTTGAGGAACCCAGGGTGGCAGTAACAAAAATGCTGATTTATATCTTGCTGGTGTATAAGCCTGTAGCATCTATGCCAATAAGCATATTAAGACCAGTACCACAGAAACTGCATCATTCAGCATATGACTGTAGTCCCCTTCCACATCCTAGTTTATAACACACAGTATTTCACTCAAATGTTCAAAATTTGTTTCAGAAAAGCTTCTAGTGCTTGGGCAGTGGCAGCAGAGAGACAAGGGAGGGACACATTTTTTCCAGTGGCTCTTTTAACATCTGGTGTCAGCATTAAGCAAGGCTGCCGCCAGTGCAGCGATGCAGGTGTCCTGTGCATGCTGTTCCCCTGATTTAGCACAGCCTGTTTAAATGTATGCACGTGCATCCGTGCTGTGCTGAACCTCAGGGTCCACGAAAGCTGACCATGATGAGCCAGACTGCATACCCTTACACACACGGGTATCCTCTCACTAAGTTACTGCCAAAATGAGCAGGCTGACCCGCAGGGCTGGGGTACCACCCCACTGCCAAGAGGAACAAACCTTGGGTTTGTGTTTGTTTAGTCAACAGGAATGACCTGGCAGCATTAGTGATCTGACTATTTACACCAACATCAAAGAAACACTGCTGGAAAAAACCTTTTGCTTAATAGGTGTTGTAGAAATACCAACAAATGTTGCAATCCTGCCTTGTGCTTTGCTCAGTCAGGTTGATAGGAAATGCGCCGCCAGCAGCCAATACGTGATTTTCATGTGTTCCTTTACAGCTGATGGTTAATTCCTGCTAGCACATGGGCACCTTTGTAACATCATGGCAAGAAACTCTCCATCCTCCTCAAGGCCAATTGCATGTTGGGGGGCTTTTGGGCTACAGAAGACAGTGAACCACCACAAGCCACAGTGGGAGTTCAGTTTATCCCAGGATTTATGGGGTCACTAGGCAGGAATATGAAGTATACAAGAAAAACATACACCTAGCTTTTGCCTCCTTGCACGAAGGGCCTTGGTGGGGTTCCCACATATAACTTGACTGAGTCCTAAGAAAAAAGGAAAAAAGAAAAAAAGAAAACATTTTACTCCAGTGTTTCACAAATGGTGCTGTCTTTGAAATCAGTCAACGTCATTTCCCATAGACAGGAGGATGTAATATTTCATGGTGTAGGTTCACAGTGTCAGCTGGCATGGCCTGACACTGCTGCTTAAGAGGCAGTTTCTCTGTTTCTACCAGAATCTGTCTGCTTCTGCTCCTGCCCTGCCTCCTCCACTGTGCTGGTGCAAACATTTGTGTGGCCACATGGTGAATCAGATCAGGGAACAGATCCAGATTAAAACTAAATACGCTTTTTCAGGTTTTGTTTGTTTGTTTGTTTTGCTGGGTTATTTTTCAGCTGGATCTTGATCACAATCAGGTTACCCCTGTGGCTATGCAGATACTTTTGCCACAACAAGAGACAAAGCAGCAAAGGGGCAGTAAGAAGCAGTGAACATTGGGTGAAACTGTCTCTATCAGGAGTGCTAGCTACCTAAAGTGCATGTGAAATTATGGTCTCATTCCCTGGCAATATTCGGTTTCCACATACTTTTCTGAATGCACACTCAGCTGTTGATACGGCATTGCTTCATCTAGTTCATCATCCTGAGTCCTACCTACAGCAAGGAACTGATGCAGGACTGGCATCTGAGAGAAGCAGCCCACAATGCTGGGAAAGCAAACATCATCTTCCTATCTAATCTGCACTCTACAGGCTGGTGGAGTTGCACCGTCAAGGTCTTTCCACGAGCTGGGGAAGGATGCCGTGGGAAGCACCAAATATTGTACCAGAAGTGAACTCCCTCTCCATCCAGCTGTCCCCAGGAGGTGCTAACTTGGCAGTACTTCCAGGTGTCCAGGGCGCGAAGGGCAGTGGTACGCCTGTAGACCAGGTGTGTGAAGTCAAGGAACTGACTCTTTTTGCTGAGGCACCCACCCCTGGAAACCCAAAAGAAAGTGCTCCTAGACAGCAGCAATGCTGCTGCAGTATGAGACTGCAGTACACACCGTTTGAGCACATGATCCAACGGGGAGTGAATGTGCATCACCATGCCTTTCTAGAGGACTGCCTTAGACCACATTCCTATGACTGAACAAGATGTGCCCAAATGTGACTTAAGTGAGCCCCAGCTAGGCTGACGTGTAATTTAAGGGACTGAGCAGGACAGCTCTTTTCACAGGTGTGAAAGGCAACTCCAGCAAGGGAGCACCATTGCAGTATGGGGTTGTTAAGAGGGACAGCAGCACATAATGCAGAGGTGAGGGGCTGAGAAGGGGGAAGCCCAGACGACTTGCACATTCTGCTGCAGGGGGAAATAAAGGAAAGCCCACGCTAGACCAGGTGAGTCCCATGGACGAAAACATATGCTGAACCTGATGTAGCAGCAGCATGGGTGGGTGGTATTCAAAGCACCCAGGCTTTCATCAGCAATAATAACATTCAGAAGGAGGTGGAGGTGTGGGAAAGAACAGGATTAAAAAATGTACATTACCATGTGTCAGATCACTGGAGTCGTCTTCTGGGAACAGCTCATCAGAAACAGTGGGATCTGGAAGAGGACAGCCACTGTACAACAGGTGGGCATTGCTAGATCTCCTTGCGTTAGCAGACCACTGCGCAGTTCCAGGTCTGGAAGCTGTCTGGGGTCTTGGGCCGCATCCAGACTGCCTTGCTAGTGCCCCAAGATACGGATCTAAGAGAGAGGCTAATGTAAGCAGTCGTGCAAGGCTGCAAACCGCACCATCACTGCCAATATGGTGACTGCTGCTGCACACTTGGAGCTGTAGGGGACAGAAAAATCTGTCATTGCAGCTGCAAGAAACATGCTGGAATTGGTCAAGCCTGGAGACAGTGGGCTTCTTGGTGCCGCACGCAGTCCCCCATAGCTGTTATCTGCAGACAGCAGAACCTGGGGACCCTCAACTAAACCAAAGTCTCTTCCCACCCTCCTCCTGCTCCTGGGCACCAGGGACAGGCTGCTGGCTGAGGATGGGGTCAGGAACTGCTCCGTGCTTGCCATCTGCCTCCGACTGCCCCACAGGTGAGCCTGGATGTGGCCAGGCCTCTGCTACGTCCCCTGCCTGCATGCCTGGGGTAAGAGTAAGCTGCCCACCTGCCTGTGGGGGAACCACTGCAGGCTTGCCACAGGCACAGTCCAAGTCCCCAGTCTTAAAATATATTGCTTAAATACCCAGACACAACACAGATGGTGATGGCCACCTTACCAGAGGTGTTAGTCAATCAGGGCAAATCATGTACCAGGAGTTATGGAAAAAGAAAGGCGAAAACTCAGTTTTTGTAATGCTACAGGGCAGGGTGGATGATACAAAAGCAAGTGAAGGTAGACAGAGCCTTGTCCTCTTACCTGCCCAACCGCCGGCTGTCCTGGGAGCACAGCACAGCTGTAAGAGCAGCATGTGCAGGCAACAACCCACAGGAGAGCGAATTGCATTTCAGTGCCTAGATGAATAGCGTGCTTTGTAAAGCGTTGAGCATCTACCAGCTCCACAGTAGAGCAATCAGCTCTGCAATAATATGGCCATTTCTTTAAGAGCTGAGTGTTAGGGACCTTTAAAGTATCTTGGTTATAGTTGTTAATATAAACCCATGAAATACACAGCGCATGAAAAGTACCAGAGTCAACATTGCTATCGGAAAGAAAAAAATATGGGGATGTCTGAACCTGATCATATGAGCTCATCTGTTCAGAGCTGAAGGCAAGAATGTAAGTCTGGTTACATGAGGAAACAATACGAATTCACAATTTTATGCTCCGTCCCTACTGCTTCTGTCAGCCCACATTGTTAACTCGTTTTCTGAACCATAGCTGTGTTGCCAAAGCACGATCACTGAGGGATCAGATTTTAATGGATTTTTCCCCACCATAACTACTATTACAACTAATGATTTGGACCCACAGGGATTAAATAAATGACAAACGTATGTACTTATTCCAAAACAAACTAAATTTTTAATGGAGTACAGTTGGCAGGCAAACCACAACTAGGGGGGCTGGGAAGACAACTGCATTGCCCACACTAATGGGAAGCAACGGGAGCAGTTATAGGAAATACTTTGTAATATTTAATGGTACGTGGTAAAGTGCATGCAGCACGATACATAAAAGCATGGACATCTGAACTATAACCAAGGCTACAGGCAAGGGGACAACAGATTTATTTTCAAACCATTTACTCTCTAGTAATGAATGTAATGGACTTAATCACAGAGGCAAAGAAAAGGGAACAGATCTATTACGAGACCACGCAATCTCAGTTGCTAGGATGTTGCTGTTGTTGTTGTGGTGACCAAATTGCCTTTCCTATTATGAAATTGGAGTAGGAAATCCTGCTACATTCACGCTACATGGGATTGACTGCTACCATGGAAAGGGCTGTGAACAGCTGTTGTTGAAACATTCCTTTCCAAGCTTTGCTTCTTACCATCATGCAGAATGAATGCTAAGTACAGACTCCCACCTACTGCTGGACTTGCTTGATGCTCTAGAAGTCGTCTGCATTTTTCTGGTCTTGATGCCCAGCTTAGGACAGCTTTCATTTAAATCTGTGCTGTGCTGAATTCCAGCTTCCTCATTTCCCAAGTGAAGACGACAACATCCTTTGTCCCTTCGCTATAATTAAACATTGGCTTTGAAGAGGCCACCTTGCTCTTCATCTTTCTTTTTCACACATCATAACCTGAAAAAATGAACCCTGGTAGGAAACCTGACATACCTAACCATGAAATGCCTCCAGCTAAACCACCTTCCTTGATGGATTCCTTGATGATTAGCCAATCCTCATGCATCTTCTTGGAAGGAAGGAGAGCAGTCTGGCTTGCTGGTATTTCATCCAAATACTCCAAGTGGGGAATGATTTTTTTTACTTCAGCTCTGTAATTATAATCTGGTTCCTGGAGAAATTGAGAAAGTGGTCACTTGAACAGTTTATTTAACAGACTGTGGACTTCCACCAGCAGCACAGCAGTGTTCAGTTTGTATGACTGCCATATAACTTGAAACGCCTTCTACGAGGCAAACATATTCACCTCATTCAACAGAAATAAATACAGCCAGGAGTTTCATTTCACTGTGCTTTCTCCTCACATAATTTGTACTCAAATTGATCATGAGCACGTCTTGAGCAGTGCAAACAGATGGCCCCTGCCCAAAGGCTCCTTTGCTGTTTACCCACTGATGACTTTGGCATTTGTCTTTGTTATATCATGTATAATGTACAAAAGTGTAAAAGGCCACTGATGCCCATGGAAAGCCTGGGCACCCTCAGCATTCAGCCAGCCTCTCCCCCTGCTTTTGCGATTCTCTGGTTGCTGCATCAATACTCAGGTGACAGGAAGACTTGAAAACATGTTATGAGTGTTGCTACACCTGCTGGTGGAAAGAGTATTTCCATGGATGGTGTTTTTAGGCACACCCATAAACCAGCTACAGTGAATGAACTGCACTGATTTTCTGAAGCAGTCTTCAGGGGCTTGGTGTGTGATTTTATACACTGTTAGAAGCGATGGCTTACTTCAAAGTACGCTTTCTTCTGCAAGAGGTTGCATGCCAACAGCAGGTGCACAGAAGGCTAAAACGGACTTTGGTTTCTTTTCTGTGTGCTGGAAAAACAATGTGATTGCTCCCAATGCACATGGACTCAGTGGGACAGCCATGGGAGAAAGCATGCGTGCAGCCCCCTTCTGCACGCGTGGGTGGAGCTGATGTATTACAAAATGCTTCATGAGCACATGCTAATGTCTGGGGACCTCTGAGCAGCAAGGCCAATCCAGAACAGTTACAACTGTGCTCAGAGCACACTCTGAATTAGGCTGTTTTGGTGGATTTCAGTGGTAGAAAAACACCTTCACGTAGCACATTCGTCTTTGGGAAAACATAGCAATACCTCAGGGCTGACTGGGTCATGCTGTTTTGCCATGGGAATATTTTTCGTTAAAATAGTCTCAGATTACAAAAGGCAGCAAATGGTGATGGCGATCTCTTCTACTTAAAGTGTAAAGCAAGAGTGCACTGCTAGTGGCAGAATATGAATCGACAGCTACTTACAAATCAATTGCTTCATCCAGATAAATGTTACGCTTTTCAAGACATTGCATGCAATATTAGAAAACCCCACAAAGCCACATCCTCTTTCAACATGGAGTTGTCACAAACAGAAATCTTTCTGTGGGACCTGGCTGGCTGTGTGCTCCCTCCCTCCACATGATGCAGCACCGAGGCTGGCAGAGGGAACTCACTAAATAAAGTGTGTGTTTGTGTTGTTAAGAGGCAGACACTATATTTCTCTAACTAAGCCTTTAATCTTAATTTAGAAAATGAGTCAACCAATCACCATGCTACCCCGTACCACATGTATTCTGAACAGTGCCTGGGCTACAGCCAATTTCCAGCCATGTCCTGTTGGAGAGAAGCAAGCATCGTGTTACACTCATGTTACATTACTGCAACAGAGGCTGTCGAATTTATCATCAGGTTGCTGCTCTTGGTTTAGATAACAGGGGAAGATGAGCTCATCTGAAAATCAAATTACAGAGAGCAAACAGGCCATCTGAAGAAAAAGCAGTAAATTTAGCTGGACCATTCTGTAGATTAAAAGTAAATAAATAGGAGAGCTTTTACAGAGCTGTAGCAAGGGCCTGGCTACAAGAAGGAGCTTGAGGAATTAGAGCTGGCCATCTAAGGCACACCAAAGTAAGCCCACAACTATTCTTTTCTATATTTCAGGTGACTTTTCTATACCCTGAAGAAATACAAACAACATCAGTTGAAACCCAGAAAGCGACAAAGCCCATGGAGAAGCTCGCAGCAGCCAAGGGCAGGGACAGCTTTATAACCACCCCAGGGCTGAGCAGCTTCCCAACACGGAGACTGGGTGGGAGACTACAGTGAACTTACAGTCTGCCTCTGTTACAGCTCCATGTAAAACATACTGTTGTGCAGACTCCCTCACCAAATTCTGGCCAGCGTTTGAATGCAACTACTTGCACAGGGGTAGAGACAGCCATTCAGTGTGGAGAAGAGCAGTGGGGCACACTACCACATACCTCTGTGAACTCTCCTCTTTGAACTCCCATTAGGTGACAATATGCAGCACCGTCGCAAGGACTAATTTCCTCAGATAAACAAACCAAGGGCAATCTGACATTTCTCCATTACAAGTACATTTAAGGACTGAAGATGCCAAGTGAAAACTACATCTTCCAAAAATACCACTTTCGTTGAG